CCATTGAAATATAATAGTATAATTATATTAAATATATTATATTATTATATTGCATATTTATATTATTATAATGCAAAACCAATTGTATTATATTATAATAATATAAATATTTAATATAATAATTTAATATAATAATATAATATAAGATCAATTGGCTCTATTGAAAGCCCCCTCTCCAAATATAATAGTATAATTATATTATATTATTATATTCCTTCAATATAAGATATTATATTATTATATTCGGAGGGGGGTTTTCAATAGAGCCAACTGATCTTATATTATATTAAATACATTTTATTATTATATTATATTATTAAATTATTATATTAAGCATTTATATTACTATAATATAATATAATATGTAATATTATTATAATATAAGATATTATTATATTTGGGGGGCTTCCTTTCAAAACTGATCCTATATATTCTGTTATGTAATTTTATATTACCGTATATCTTTGGAGAGAGGAACTTTATATGTATGTGTGTGTCTAGATACTTAAATGTGTATGTTTATATATGTATATCTCATGCTTCTGGAGAGGGGACTTGAACCAACTGATCATAGAATTATATACTATATATATATATATATATATATATATATATATATATATATAGGCTCTTTATCTGTATGTGTGTGCCTATATACATACATGTGTATATGTATGTATATATGTGTATATATCATCTTTTCGGAGAGGGGTCTTTCGCTTGAACCATGTGCTCATAGAATTATACTCTAGATCTATATCTTTTGAACAGGCCAAGTAAGGAGAGGGGGCATTGATTATAGATATAGATATGGAGGAAAGGCTTTCTCTAGAACCAATTGATCTATTACACTAAATTATATTATATTTGGAGACAGGTTGGGTAAGGAGAAAGGGACTTTCTGTAGACTTTCTGTAGAGGACTTTCTCTAGAACCAATTCTATATATCTATCTATATCCATATACGTATAACACACACACACACTAAAATACATATGACAAATACACAAGGGGTTAAATGCTGCTTAAAAATCAAACTAAATAAATAAATATATGGTATACACACACACACACAGATACATATAACAAATACACAAGGGGTCAAACACTGCTAAAAATCACAATAAATAAATAAACAATACTACACACACACGCATATATATATATACACATATATACATACATACATACAAATACACACACACACACACATGCACACACACTATTAAGATACATATAACAAATACACAAGGGGTTAAATGCTGCTTAAAAATCAAACTAAATAAATAAATATACGGTATACACACACACACACACACACACACAGATACATATAACAAATACACAAGGGGTCAAACACTGCTAAAAATCACAATAAATAAATAAACAATACTACACACACACACATATATATATACACACATATACATACATACATACATACAAATACACACACACACATGCACACACACTATTAAGATACATATAACAAATACACAAGGGGTTAAATGCTGCTTAAAAATCACAATAAATAAATAAATATACGGTATATATATATATATACACACACACACACAAAGATACATATAACAAATACACAAGGGGTCACACGCTGCTAAAAATCACAGTAAATATATAAATTATACGATATATATATATATATACACACACACACACACATACATACACACACACACTATTAAGATACCTATAACAAGAGGTCAAACGCTACTTAAAAATAACAATAAATAAATATACGATATACACACACACACCATACTCCAGGAAATAAAGCCCAACTGCTCATTGGAGGTGTGTGTGTGTGTGTACACACATGCACACAATTAAAATATGTATAATGCACAAAGGGTCAGACGCTGCTAAAAAATACAATAAATAAACACACACACACACCTACATACATATACACACACACACACACACTATTAAGATACATATAACAAATACAAGGGGTGAAACACTACTTAAAAAACAATGAATAAATATACTATATATATGCACACACGCACACGCACACACATTATTAAGATGCATATAACAAATAGACAAGGGGTCAGACGCTGCTTAAAAATCATAATACATTAATAAATATATGGCATATATATATACACACACATACACACACACACACACATGCACACTATTAAAATATATATAACAAATACACAAGGGGTCAGATGCTGCTTAAAAATTACAATAAATAAATAAATAATAAATGTCATGTATATATATATATACACACACACATATACATACATACACACACACTATTAAGATACATATGCAAAAGGGGTCAGACGTTGCTTAAAAATTACAATAAATAAATAAATATATGGCGCACACACACACACACTATTAAGATACACATAACAAATACACAAGGGGTCAAACGCTGCTTAAGAAATCACTATATGTATATATATATTGCGTATATGTATATATGTAAAACATGTTATATTTTTTTTTTGCACAGAGGGCCTTTCTCTGTCCAGAAAGGGGCCCCGTGGGCCCAAAGCGGGAGGGCCCCACCATGATGAACAACCTCCCTTTCGAGGAGACCTCTCTGGACGGGCTGGACCCCTCCTTGACGCTCCACGGATCCAGTGACATCGACACAGCGCTCCTCAGCGACATTGACGGTGGGTCTCCCTTTTTGTACCCCACTTTCTCATGCCTTGGGCTTCGTTTCCATGTGCATTATGTCATGTGCTGAATCTGAGCTTTAGCTGATTGCCCAATGCGGGATGGATTATAAATAAGAGGAGTGGAGGCTGGTTTTGGGGTCGAAGCAGAAGCACCCCAAAAAATCCCAAATTGGAGAGGAAAAGGCGTGTTGGGGCAACCTTTGGTGTGTTTTTTGCTCTTGCAAAGGAGCCCTTCTTGCATGGAAACGTGGTTTGAGCCTCCTTTAAGGAAAGAGAAGAAAGCGAGGATGGTGATGATTTAATCCACTCTCTTCGTGCTGTTAGGAAAGTAGTCCTATGATTAATATTAATATTATAATTATCATTGTCATTAGAAACCTCCTCCCTGCTGAGAAGAAAGGGAGATATATATCATTGTTGTTATTATTAGAGTGTATATCATTATTATCATCATTATTAGTCCTCCAGTTCCATGCTGTTTATGAGACGTAAGTGAGCTATTCTATAATAATAATAATAATAGAAGATGTGGGCAAAACGTCAGGAGAGAATGCTTCTGGAACATGGCCACACAGCCTGAAAACTTACAGCAACCCAATAATAATAATAATAATAATAATAATAATAATAATAATAATAATAATAATGGGATGCTATGAGTTTTCCGGGCTGTATGGCCATGCTCCAGAAGCATTCTCTCCTGACGTTTTGCCCACATCTCTGAGGATGCCTGCCATAGATGTGGGCGAAACGTCAGGAGAGAATGCTTCCGGAACATGGCCATACAGCCCGGAAAACTCATAGCAACCCATTATTATTATTATTATTATTATTATTATTATTATTATTATTACATTTGGGTTGCTGTGAGTTTTCCAGGCTGTCTGGGCCATGTTCCAGAAGCATTCTCTCCAAACGTTTTGCCCACATCTATTATTATTGTTGTTGTTATTATTATTATTGGGTTGCTGTAAGTTTTTCAGGCTGTGTGGCCATGTTCCAGAAGCATTCTCCCCTGACATTTCTCCTACATCTATTATTATTATTATTATTATTATTATTATTATTATTATTATTATTGGGTTGCTGTGAGTTTTCCAGACTGTATAGGCCATGTTCCAGAAGCAATCTCTCCTGATGTTTTGCCCACATCTATTATAATTATTGTTATTATTATTATTATTGGGTTGCTGTAAGTTTTTCAGGCTGTATGGGCCATGTTCCAGAAGCATTATCTCCTGGCATTTCGCCCATATCTTATTATTATTATTATTATTATTATTGGGTTACTGTAAGTTTTTCAGGCTGTATGGGCCATGTTCTAGAAGCATTCTCTCCTGATGTCTCCTGACATTTCTCCTACATTTATTATTATTATTATTATTATTGGGTTGCTGTAAATCTTTCGGGCTGTTATGGCCATGTTCCAGAAGCATTCTCTCCTGACATTTCAACTGCATCAATGGCAGAGATTGTGAGGTCTGATATAATATAACAGCTCACTTACTTCTCACAACCTCTGAGGATGCCTGCCATAGATGTGGGCGAAACGTCAGGAGAGAATGCTTCTGGAACATGGCCATACAGCCCAAAAAAAATGCAGCAACCCAGTGATTCCGGCTCTGAAATCCTTCGACAACACATTATCATCATCATCATATGCCCCTCCATGCTTTCTTTAGCCATGCGCTTTCCTTTTCTTCTACACCCATTAAAACAACAACAGCAGCAGCATTTGGTGGCAGAGGGTGGGGAGGATATATTTTGTTTTATGTGAGATATATATATATATATATATATATATATATATATATATATATATTCTATTTTTATTATTCTATTTTTTATTTTATGTTATGTTATCTTATTTTATTTTATTTATTTCTATTTTATTTTATTTTATTATGGGGAAGCAGTAGCTTGAAAACTTGCTGGTGGCAAGGAGTGTTTCTCTGCCCCCACTCCACACACATGCACACACACACACACACACACATATTGTGATTGGTTGCCAGCCTCTTGCACCCGCCTCCTCTTCCTGGTGTGTTTGTGGGAAGGGGCTGACGTCACACGGTTGGGTTACTATCGGTCATTCCTTTCTCCGGTGACAAATGTTCCAGTGCTTTTTGCTGAAGCAGACGGCAGGGGCAATGTTTCAACATGGGGTTGCGCCATGCGCTGCAATGGGACTGCTAATGGCTAATAATAATAGCTTGGGTATGCCTCGTCTTGAATCCCCAAATCCTCCAAAACCATCCTCAAGAGGAGCACCTTTGCCTTCCAATGGTTCAGTGCGCACAAAATTATGCTACTACTACTAATAGTGCAGCTAGCTGTATGCGTCATCCTGAAATCCGAAATAATGGGTGGCTGAGACAGTGATGCTTTTGCTTTCCAATGGTTCCACGTGCACAAAATTATATTACTACTATTAGTAGTACTACTACTAATAATAGTGCAGCTTGCCGTATGCGTCATCCTGAAATCCGAAATAATGGGTGGTTCCACGTGCACAAAATTATATTAGTACTACTATTAGTAGTAGTACTACTACTACTAATAATAGTACAGCTTGCCATATGCCTCATCCTGAAATCCGAAATAATGGGTGGTTGAGACAGTGATGCTTTTGCTTTCCAATGGTTCCACGTGCGCCAAATTATACTACTACTACTAGTAATAATAATAATAATAGTGCAGCTAGCTGTATGCATCATCCTGAAATCCGAAATAATGGGTGGCTGAGACGGTGATGGTTTTCCTTTCCAATAGTTCCTTATGCACAAAATTATACTATTACTAATAATAGTGCAGCTTGCTGTATGCGTCATCCTGAAATACGAAATAATGGGTGGCTGAGGCAGTGATGCTTTTGCTTTCCAATGGTTTCACATGCACAAAATTATACTACTACTAATAGTAATAGTAATAATAATAATAGTAGTAATAATAATAATAGTGCAGCTTGCCGCATGCCTCATCCTGAAATCCGAAATAATGGGTGGCAGAGACAGTGATGTTTTTGCTTTCCAGTGGTTCCATGTACACAAAATTATACTACTACTACAAGTATTACTACTACTAATAACAATAGTGCAGCTTACCATATTCCTCATCCTGAAATCCGAAATAATGGGTGGCTGAGACAGTGATGCTTTTGCTTTCCAATGGTTTCGTATCCACAAAATTATACTATTATTACTGCTACTACTGCTACTACTACTACTAATAATAATAATAATAGTGCAGCTTGCCGTATGCCTCATCCTGAAATCCGAAATAATGAGTGTCTGAGACAGCGATGCTTTTGCTTTCAAATGGCTCCACGTGCACAAAATTATATTATTACTACTGCTGCTGCTACTAATACTACTATTCCTAATACTAATACTACTACTACTAATAATAATAATAGTGCAGCTTCCTGTATGCCTCGTCCTGAAATCCAAAATAATGGGTGGCTGAGACAGTGATGCTTTTGCTTCCCATTGGTTCAGTGTGCACAAAATTATTCAAAATATTATGCTAACAAGAACAACAACAACAACAACAACAACGGCTTGGGGACATGCCTTATTCTGAAATCCAGGATACCCCAAAGTCATCCCCATTTGTGGCTCAGAGTCACACCTTTGCTTTCCAATGGTTTAAATAGTTTTGTTCCATTCACAAAAATATAATAACAATAACAATAATTTATATCATTGAGGTAAAGGTTTCCCCTTGACATTAAGTCTAGTCAAGTCCAACTCTGGTGCTCATGTCCATTTGTAAGCCGAAGAGCCGGTGTTGTCCATAGACACCTCTAAGGTCACGTGGCCAGTGTGACTGCATAGAGCGCCGTTACCTTCCCGCAGAAGCTGTACCTATTGATCTACTCACATTTGCATGTTTTCGAACGGCTAGGTTGGCAGAAGCTGGGGTTAACAACTCATGCCGCTCCCCGGATTCGAACCACTGACCTCTCAGTCGGCAAGTTCAGCAGCTCAGCAGTTTAACCCGCTGCACCACCAGGGACTCCTCAATTTATATCATTATATATATATAATATATTATATTGGATATAATTAGATATAATTTATTATTGTATTATTATATATAGTGTATTATGATACAATACATGTGATACATGTTATAATGAGGTTGGACTGGATGGCATTTGGGGCTCCTTTCCAACTGGATGGCCATCTGTCGGGTAGGCTTTGATGGTGTCTTCCTTTACTGCAAAAAGTGGTTGGGCTGGATGGCCTATGGGGCTCCCTTCCAACTGGTTTGCCATCTGTCGAGAGGGCTTTGATGGTGTCTTATTTTACCGCCCAGTGAGGTTGGACTGAATGGCATTTGGGGCTCCTTTCCAACTGGATGGCCATCTGTTAGGAGGGCTTTGATGGTGTCTTCCTTTACTGCAAAAAGTGGTAGGGCTGGATGGCCTTTGAGGCTCCCTTCCAACTGGTTGGCCATCTGTCGGGTAGACTTTGATGGTGTCTTCCTTTAGCGCCCAGTGAGGTTGGACTGGATGGCATTTGGGGCTCCTTTCCAACTGGATGGCCCTCTGTCAGGAAGGCTTTGATGGTGTCTTCCTTTACTGCAAATAGTGGTAGGGCTGGATGGCGAAGCCTAAGGGGCCCTTATAACTAAACCATCGCAGCTCACTGCTGTTATGTAATAATTCCCATGCGAGCTTAGCACCACCGCTAGAGAGGCAGCCTGGGCCATGCCCGAAGCGGGCTTTGGACTCCACACATCCCACAATAATCCTCCCCCCAACAGTCTATAATGTTGGCTTTTAAAGTGTTTTTCAACTGTGTTTTTCAGTGTTTTTATGAGTGATGGCCACTCGTTGGCCTGATAGGTGTATTGTGTCCAAATTTGGTATCAATTCTCCTAGTGGTTTTTGAGTTATGTTAATTCCACAAACAAACATTACATTTTTATTTATATAGACTAGCTGTACCCGCCAAATGTTGCTGTGGCCAAACTCCCCTCCCTCTTTC